ACTATTCTAACTGCTCTTTTATTCATCTTTTTATTCATTCTTTTATTTACTTTTTTATTTTTTTTATTTATCCTTTTCTGCTTATAAAAATATTCTCAGTGACTGTAGAAGATGTCTTTCAGAGAATTCTATTGTAATGTTAAACTTTTATATTACAATTCTAATTAGTAAATGTTTTTACGGGGAACTTTTAAATAAAATAAATATCGGTTTAGACTTTTGGTTTAGGATACAGTAAAACTCAAAATATGAAGGCATAATACATCTTGTTTTTTCAATATAGTTATATTTAATAAATTGCAAAGTCACAATAAATTTTTTTTATATATCAAAATTTAAAGTATAGGTCTTTTTATTTATTATGACACAAATATAAGTATATAGTAAGTTAGTCAAATATATAATAAATACTCTAATTAATTAATACTAAAAGAAAGCTAAGGTTCTAGAAATATATATATATATATTATAATCACATATCTTGCATCATCTATTTGCAGATTTACAAATTAAAATTGTAAGAATCAGATTGATATTTTGATACAAACTAACCTTTTTTTTTTACTAATCAAATCTATTGTTTGTTTTTAATAAAAAATATTTCTTGTATTGTTTTTGTTTACACATAAAATTTTTACAAAAATATAAAAGCATTTTATTAATAGATTTCACGTAACAATTATTAAATATTTTACTAATTTATTTGCATAAATTACCATTATGTATTAAGTAGGATGTGCAAGTCTAGATAGAAATATAAAACACAAATATTTTTAGTTACATACGTACGTACGTACAATTCATCTTTAGAGTAAATTAGAAATTTTCTTTATCAATAATGAAACTTCAAATCCTTAATTTATTTTTAATTGTTTTTATTTCATATTGATACTCCACCGTACTGCAAGCGTAACAATTATTAGTGTTTTACTAATTTATTTGCATAAATCACCATTACGTATTAAGTAGTGTGCAAGTCTAGATAAATATATAAAACACGAATATTTTTAGTTACGTATGTACGTACGTACAATTCACCTTTAGAGTAAATTAGAAAATTTCTTTATCAATAATGAAACTTCAAATTCTTAATTTATTTTTAATTGCGTTTAATTCATATTTGCTAGCGTTTGTCATTTTGGCCGATGCTCATGATAATTCAAAAAATGAAATTTTGGACTGTTGTAAAGCACCCGGTTGTCCAGGATGGACCACAAGCTAAATTATCAAAATACAGATCCAAGACTTGATATTGATACTCCACAACATTGTTGTCAAGAATGTTTTAAGGATTCTAATTGTATACAGTAGACTTTTAGACAAGATATTAAACTGTGTCAATTTATTATCAGAAGAATTTCACTACCGCCGTTATTAAGTCTTTGTAATGCAACTACAGCTCCACCTACTATTGGTGACAATTCTGGAATTATGCGTTGTAATGATGGTTGCATACCTCCCTCCTAGACATACCTCCTAGATCTACCAAAGTACTCAAGCATAATGATTATGATTAAATATTTAATGTTCTTTTAACAGAATGTGTTATGTATCAGGCTCTTAAATTTAAAACTGAAAATAAATAACAAAAGTTTAACGTACTTTTTTAATCTAAGAATAATAGAATATAATGTGTTGGTAATTTCTTATTCTATATATTTTTATTAATTTTATATTAATACGTATATAATCACCAATTTAAACACATTTCTATTTAATTATTCAAATAGAATCATAGTCATCATTTTATTTGTATTTTCTTTTTGTTCAAGCAAATAAATTATTTGCTTTTAATATTTTAAAAGAAATAAAAATTTTTTTTATTCATGCATTACCTTTCAATGGCAAGAAATGATCTAAAATTTAAGCAACTCTAATTTGTCATAATTATGCGTGAGAACCGGCCATCAATTAAATAAAGAAAGGGATTCCACTCTGTTCCATCTCTTTAATTACTAGGATCCATACAATTCAGCTGATTTGAGGAATTTGAACTTTGGTTAAATATTCATCCTTTTAATAAACCCAATTTTTTTAAAAATAATTAGGATTTTGGATAAAGGTCAAATTCCAAACACCCGCTAAATTGATTGTTTCAACTATAGTTGACATTAAACAGGTTTGGTACAAAATTCCGATACTCACAATCTCCATTGGAATTATGTATCATCTCAAGATTTTGCATGCACTATCAGATCGTGAGCATCGGGATTTTGCATAACTCCCCAAAATTACTGAATCACAACATTGCAGTATGGTAGAATTATGGTATTAGTATCTGAATACCATATTGCTAACCCTTTTAGAACTACCAAAGTCTTAAAACAAGCTATTGATTCTACTTTTAAATATATAACAAAGCTATATTTTTTTATTTTTTGTTAGAAATTGCGCATATGGGTGGCTTTGCTATCAGTCTTAACAAATAAATTATTAGACATAGCAAGTGATTTTTGTGCTGTTTACGAATAGGATCTACCAATCAGATAAATAAAATTGTGATAATTACGACTTTATCATACATTAAATTTACGTTTATTGGTTGATTTATTTAGCACAATATAGAAATTATTGTTCACTTTTACAAAGCCCCAAGCTTTATTTCTTAATTTTGCAACTTGAACTTTTTATATTTATGTTCAACAAGACCCAAAGTTCAAAGAACTACAAATAGTTTTTCAAGAACCAAAAATGGGCATAACTTTTACTAGTGACAATGCCAAAGAGTCTGCGATGTAAAAATAATCAAAAAATTTTTATTGGCTAATCTATTTTCTCAATTTGAAAATATAAACCCTACCAAAATCTATCTATACTCTTTTACTAATAACTCTAACCCTAAATCTTAACTTAACTATAAAAAAAGTCAACAAAAAAGGTTCCAAAAATTTTAAAAATTATATATAAAATAGATCCAAATTTCATCATCATCCGATTTTACAATCATCTGTGACAATATATATTTTATTGAATTAACTTTAGAGTTAGAGTCATCTTATATTAGAGTTAGGTTATGTTTTAGTTAGTTAAATTTGTTTTTCTGATATTTTTCATTAATCTATTCAAGGTAGGTTTAAACTGCTGTTTTTTGTATTTTTCAGATTTTTCATTTTTATTTCTTGTTTTGCTTCACTAGTAATTATCAAAATTTTATGATTTGATTAGCTAGGAAAAAAAACAATCATTATTATCTTATAGTAATACAAAGAGAAGAAGACCTAGTTAGATTTATTATATATACAAAAATGAACAAAATTAGGATTAACTTAGATATAACTGATAGAATAAGATGGATATTAGATAATAGAAAAAACAAGCTGTTAAAATAATATTGAAATAAGAAATAGGTTAAAACAAGAAACTTCAAGAACAAAAAAAAATTGATAAAGATGGTATAATAAAACAGCTTTGAAGATTATAATACAATAATTCAAAGAATCTGTTAAATCTAAATCAATAAGAAATTTTAAAATTATTGTTGGGGTTACAATTTTAAATGTAAAGAGATATATATAAAATTTTTAATTATACATACATAAAATGTATAACTATTACTAATTTTAAATATATATATCTTGTTATTATATATATATATACATATATATATATTTAGAAGCAAGAATTATTAGATAGTATTAATAAAGAGTTGAAAAATAAAAAAATAGATAATAGAAGTAAAAATGAAATAGTAAATAAAATAGATAAAATAGTAGATAAAATAGTGAATAAAATAATAAATAAAAAAGTAAATAAATAGATAAATAAAATAGTAAATAAAAGAGTAAATAAACAGATAGATGAAATAGTAAATGAAAATATAAATATTTATAAAAATACAAATGAAAGAGTAAATAAACAAAAGAACAAATAAAAGAATAAACAAAAGGGTAATAAAAGAACAAACAAAAGAGTAAATAAAAAACAAACAAAAAGACAAATAAAAATCAAACAAAAAGACAAACAGAAGAGAACGCCCGGGACAGTTAAAGTAGATTTAGATTGCAAATTGATTTATAAGTAGCGTTGTTAAATAATATTGTCTATACAGGTGGCATTGTTTAATGGTACAAACTTAATATAGAATTGGTAAAGGCAGTAATGATTAATTGGAATAAAATCGTTATTTAAAATGTTTAATAAAAAGTGAAGCTTCGCTTATAGCTTCGTTAATAATAAGTTATTCGTTCGTATATAGAACTTTTGATTAATTTGATTGGTTCATGTTCATGTGCCATGAAATCTAGAATCATCCGACTGATGATCATTTACCAAATAAGGTAAGATCATAGATGACCAAATTTGGTATATTCCCAGACTGGACTACACGTGGTAGATATGAACTTTATAACATAGTCGTTGATGTTGAAGGCACAGAGTTTCCAATTGTCTACCTGATAATGGATATAATAAAGGTAATGAATACAAGCACTAGTTTAAGAAAATATAGCAATATATTAGAAAGATTCTTAGAGGCTATAAAGTCATATAATATACATTCGAATTTTGCTTTTATCAACAAAGACTTTGCCAAGATTAATGCCATATCTAATGTGTAGAGAGCTTCAGTGGTTTAATTATGCGAATGGTATATAAACAGGTAGTGATATAAATCGAAAATCTATTAATTTGTTGGTCTAGTTAGAAATTAATCAACTTATGTGCAAACCATCTAAAGACATCCAAGAATTTCGTAAAAAAAAAATACATTGCTTTATAATTCTGAATAAAATCTACAAAGTAATGTGTTTTTTTTTTTATGAATTCTAATAATCAAACTTAGAGATGAGCAAGATAATAATATAAGTAATAATTACTTATTTTTTATCCAGTACTTACACTTACATATTATTACCAATTATTGCTTATGACAGATAATTATTACTTATCACAATTTTCAAATATAATCTGGAAAAGTAAATTTTTAAGCTCGATAATTTGTTGATCATATTAAATTGAATCAACCAGGGCGGCTCTCAAAAATACAGTCTTGTGAGTAGTGTCACTAGATTCAATATGCACAATATGTAAATATGCAATACAGAATCAAAATTTTTATAGCAATAGTACTATAGATCCAGTATTGATTCATTTGCTACAACTATGGCAGGTAGTACTATCTACATAATCCGTATTTTTGAAGGCTGCCTGGTCAGTTCGCATGCATCATAATTCTTTATTTATTATTGCTTATTACATAAAAAATTAAAGATAATAATTAAAAACAATAAGCAATGATATGTAACTAAACTTGCCTACCTCTAATTTAATTTGTTAGTTCTCCAAAATATATAACTTTTTACTTAAATATCACAGATTTGATGTGACTAGATAATTTGCACTATATAAATAATTAAATTAATTAACCGTTATATAAAAAGTATAAAATTATACAAAAGTTAACTATTGTTAATTGACAAACTGATTAAAAATTTTCACACTATAACAGAGCTGTAAAACATAAGCTTGAAGAAAAATCCAAGTCATCAAAAAATAGCAGATTAATAACTATAAACTATAATCTTAACAAAGCAGCCAACGAGTTTGGCTTTATTGATATTAACTTTTATCCAACAAAAGCTAACTGTAATTCACAGATATATGTTATCTGCCCACCAATCTATAGAGAAGTAATTTTAGAAATAATGCACCATTATTTCAACATGCACCCATTAATACCAGTTAATGCTCAAAGAAGCACAATGATACCAGAGACTATTAGGCAAAGTGCAGTAGAAGAAATGTATAGATTCTGTACTGAATATGAATTACAGTTGCTTTGGGCTTACTTGTGGACCAATTAGTACTTATTGCAAAGATAGTACCTTTGGGTACGATCGACCAAACTAACTATACCATATGGAAAGACAACAATAAAAATTGAGGCTCATTGGAGCGTGATTAAACAATGTTATTTACAATATTTTAATCAACCCAGACTAGATCTTCTAATATAGACACTTTTCACTGAAGTGGTTTCAGATCAGAAAGACAGATTTTCTCAGATCTTGGTTGGCACAGTAAAACCATACTAGTAGAATAATTTTAAGAATGAATGGATCTATGCTGGCACAAGTGATAAAAAACAGGCAGAAATTTGTGCTAATAGAAATAACAAGCATAAAAGAAAGAGAAGCATCGATATAAGTATAACAAACTCAAGTAATTTGTATTTCACTAAAGTTACCTATTGGGTTTGTAGCTGCCCTGCATTTGTTAAAAATTACTTCCTGTTGTGTAAGCACTTGGTAAAGCAGGTTGTGAACACATCTGATAGAAAAAAATGACATTTAATTAGAGGTGATTTTGAATATTGCACAATACCACCATTCCTTGTTTTAAGCAACCTTGAGTACAATGATATTCTATCTACATCTTCAGAAGCATAGATTGTTGAATCACATGATGTTGAAACTATTATAGATAATTCACCTAATAGTTACAATATTAATGTAGATGAAGATCCATAT